TTTTAAATGAAATTTTCGTATAAATTTTCTTTTAAGGAAAATATTTGACATTTTCCTTTTTTTAAATCGAGTAAACACGGAATTTAAAACAAAAAAAAAATTATTTACGGGACATAGAAAAATTCGAAAAAAAAACACGTGGAAATATTCGAAACGGAATAATGGCGGCCATGTTAGTTGTTTAAATATTTTTTTCGAATTCGTTTTATTATTATTATTATTATTAACATTGTGCTCGTTTCTAAGTAAGACTTTATTATTATTTATTTATCAAAAAAAAAATTAAAACTTAAATAAATTTACTGTTGTTAAATAAAAAAAAGGAAAATTCGTCGTACGACTAAGGGGGTATTTAAATTTAATGACGTCACGTTACGTAATTTAAACGTGTACCTAAAATAAATAAACCGTTAAAATTTTTTAATTTATACTTATTGATTTCATTATTATTATTATTATTATTTTTGTAATTAATATTTTACATTCGAATTCTTTCTTTAAAAAAAAGAGAAAAGTTTTACAAGTGTTTTTGTGTAAAATTTTAATTTAAAAAATGTTTTGAAAAAAAATAATTTCCGGTATCACGATCGCCGCCATTTGTCAAAGAAAAAAAATTTATTACTGTTTATTTATTACGCGTTTCCTTTGAATTCTTTTTTTTTTTTATTAAATAACTCTTGCGTTTGATGATTTCCCTCCGAAAGTGGTTTTTTTTTTGTTGTTGTATAAAATAAAACAAATTGTTTATAATCTCCAATAAATTTTCCATCGAACCGCAAACACTTTTTTTTTTTTCGGTTAATAAAAATTTGTTAAATTTACTACGACGTGACGTACGCAACAGGAAACGAAGTAATAAGACCGTTAAAAAGTAAAACAAATCAAAAAGTAGGAAAAAGTGGGAAAACGGGAAAAGGGGGGAAAAAACGTCACCGTTACATTTAAAATAATAATAATAATAATTTTAACAAATTTTTTGTTCTCTTTTTTTTTTTTTTGGTTCTCAATAATTCGAATCATTTAATTTTACGATTTTTTGGTTCGTCGTGTTATGAAAAAAAAAAAAAGGAAACAATGTTAAAATCAAATCTTTAAAATAAGTTAAAATACCATTGGGTGAAAATTTTCCCTTTCCTTTTTTTCCTTTTTTTCCTTTTCCTTTTTAGGATTTTATTAAGTTAAATAAAAATAAACTTTTTTTTTCTTTCCTACTTTTCATTTTTTTTTTTTCTTATTTATTTTTTTTATTTCTTTTATTTGTAAAGGAATAGGAGAGAGAGAGAGAGAGAGAGAGAGAGAGAGAGAGAGAGAGAGAGAGAGAGAGAGAGAGAGAGAGAGAGAGAAAAGTACGTAAAAACTTTTTGTGTTATAACTTTTTTTTTTTTTTTTTTTAAAGATCGAACAAAGCTTTTTCTCTCATCAAAACTTATTTTTTTTCCATTTTTTTTCCTTTTTTTTTCCTTTTTTTTTCCTTTTTTCCTTTTTTTTTTTTTTTTTGTAAATGTGTGAATGTGTGTGTGATAATAAGATTTTAAACTTCTTTAAAAAGAAATTTAACAAAAAAAAAAAAAAAAAACATTTTCGTATTTTACACTTTTTCTCTTTCTTTCTCTCTTTCCCCCTTTATTCAATTATTATTATTAATTAATGTTTGTTGTTTATAAAACGTTTTAATTTGTCTTCTGCTCTCTCTTTTTTTAAAAATTTTATTTTACGTTATTCTCATAATCACGTCGTAAATGTTTATTATTATTATTATTATCCATAAATTTTTATTGGATCGTAATAAATTATAAACAATTTTTTCATTTAGTTTTTTTATTTGTAACAAAAAAAAACACCGAGACCTCATAATTATTATTATTATTATGTAAACATTTTATTTTAAAGTTCTTTGGTGTTAACAACAACAACAACAACAACAATAACAACAAAAATTTTTATTTTTTTATAAAATAATTATTTTTTTTTTAGTGATAAATCGTTTAATGACCGTTAATATAATAAACGAGTCATTTTTTTTATTTTTTATTTTGTTTACGTCTAAAAAAACAAAATAAATTTTTGTGTTTTTTTTTGAAGTTTTCAAACTTTTTTAAATTAATATTATTATTCATAGATTTAAATTTATCGATTTATTTTTTGTTTATTTGTTTGTTTGTTTGTTTGTTTGTCTTCCTGCCTAAAAAAAAAAAAAGAAATTTAACAACATTTTTTTCTGTCCTTTTGTTCGTTCGTTTTAATGCATTTTCGTACATAAATTAAATTTCGGTTTTATGTATATGTATACATAATTAATTCTAGAATATTCTTTTTTTTATTAAATTAAAAAAAAATGTCAATTAGTTTGTTATTACATAAAAAAAAATTTCCAGTACGTTGGCTACGTATAATAATAATGACTTTTACATCGTAATTTTTTTTTTTTTTTTACGTAGACTGTCATCGTTTTTTTATATTTTTTTATTAACTTAATTAATCGGAAAAAAAATAGCAGGCGAGAGGGGGGGAAGGGGAAAGGGGAAAGGGGGAAAATGGTAATTTATTATTAATAAATTTATCATATTTAAAATCCCTGCAATTATTTATAATTAATTATTATTATTATTTTACGTTTTCTTTTACGGAAGTATAAATTTTTTTTTTTTGTTTTTGAATTTATTTATTTATTTTTTTGACATTAGTTAATAATAATAATTTGATTTTATTTTTAAAATTAAATAAAATATATATTTAAATAAATAAATCAAAAATTTTCAATTAGGGAAAAGAGAGAGAAAAGAAAAAAATAAGAAAAGGAAAAAAAAAGTCGGAAAGATTTCGAGTAAAAAAATATGGCTGACTAATTACGGTAACGAAAAAAAAAAAAATCAAAAGAGTATTAAAATCTTGGAAAGGAAAAAAGGAAAAATGGAAATTTTATATCTCGAGTTTTTTTTTTTATCTTTGATGAAGATAAAATAAAAATAATAATAATAATAAAAGATATCTTAGAAGAAAATAATAATAATAATTTTTTGTATACGAAAAACATTCGAGAACGAATATATACAATTATTTTAAACAAAAACCTTTGATTAAATTTCTATAAATAATGTGGATAATAATAATAATGATAATATTTTTATGAGGCAGGGAGAGAGAGAGTGAAAGAGAGAGAGAGAGAGAGAGTAAATAAATTTTTTGCTTTATTTTCATGACGTAGCCCCCCCCAAAAAAATTTTTTTTTGTTTTTACAATGAAATTAATTATAAAAAAAAGGGGAAAAAGTTCGAACTGTGGTTAAAACGTGTGGAAAATGGTTGAGGGGAAGGGGAGGGAAGGAAAGAAGAACAGGAAAAGGTTAAAAAAAAAGTTTTTTGTGTTAAGGTTAAAGTTTTGAAACAAAAAATTACCGCGAATGAAAATCGAATTTTTTTTTTAAATTAAAAAAAAATGATATTTTAATAGAATCTTTTTTTTTTTTTAATATTAAAT